TCCTGGTGACACTGTAGGTGGGCCAGTGCGGGCATGGAGGGTGCTAGCGCCTCTGCGCCACAGCCCTACACAGTGCCAGCTCTGCTGGAGCCCCTCCCCACAGAGGGGGATGTCCCCAGATATGATCTATAATTCATTTGGTAGATGAAGGTCAAACACAATCGACCCGTCTGAGCAGGGACAGCACATGTTGGCTGCACAGGCACACCAGGAGCACCTCCCACTGCGAGGTGGGCTGGGACCCCCAGACCCCTCTGCAGGACACCCCATTGCTGCCTGCAGGGCTGTGCCCATGGGGGCTAGGCAGTGCAGCCGCCCTCGCCTCCAGACAGAGGGCAGGGACACTGCCTGGCCAGTCACAGCTCCAGTGTGAGCAGTCCTCAGGTCTCCTCACAGGCATGGCACATGCTGTCCTTGACACAACGCTGGGGCCAGTGTTGAGGCATGGGGCATGGTCCCTTGCAGTGAGGGGCTGGCCACACAGATGCTGTGGAAAAAAAACTCTGACTGTCCTGAGTGCATGCCAGTGATTCCCAGCCACCAGCAGAACACCAGCTGGGCAGCAAATAGCTTCCCCAGAGCTGGCTGGGAGCTGCGGTGGCCAGCAAGGCTGAGCAGGGCCTTGCCTGGCAGCTGAGCATTCCCAGCGCCATGGGCAGGAGCAGCTACCCAGGGAGGGAAAGTGGTTGTGCCCACCACAAGGATGCAGTTGCACTGGGCCTAGCGGCACTGGGAGCTCTTCCTGGGATGGTTCCTGCCCTGGGGCTCTGTGTGACAGTGCCAGCCCTGCTACGGGCAAGCCTGGTGCCAGCCTGTGCCTTGTCTTGCTGCTCTGACTCTGGAACAGGGTCTCACAGGCAACTCCCCTGTCACAGGGAATGCTCCTGGGAAAGGCAGCCCTCATCCAGCCAGGAATGCTGCTGCATGCACAGCTGTGCCAGCTGACAAGGGTACCAGAGGGACCAAGTAGGGATGGCAGCAACTTTATGTATGGCACACTGGCCACCAGCACCCACGCCTGTACCTGGCCCTCCAGCTCTGCCTAGGACCCGGGAAAGCCACTGCCCCAGTGCTGGTGGGCACCCAGACCCACAGCTGTACTGCCAGGGATGAGGGGGCAGCCACAGCCAAAGACCTGCGAGACTGTGCAAGCAGCAGCCAGGATCACAGAATCATAGGATGTGGCAAAATGTCACCAACCTTGGTGGGGTGACGGGTCACGGGAGACATGGTAGTGCCCACTGCCCCCATGAGCCTCCCTGGGACCTCAGGGCAGAGGTGGGCCAGGCAGGACAGTGCTGGTGCAGTGTAGGAATGGGGGTGCAGCAGGGACGTGGCGCATCGTACCCCAAGATGAAAGCGGGTTGCTGTGATGGACGGATCTGGAGCACAGTAGGGTGTGGGGAGGCAGCTTGTGCTGGCTGCCAGTGGTGCTGCAGCACTTTCCACTTTGTGGCATGGGCAAGGCTCCCCAGCATGGGTGGGATGGGGGGAGAGGGCACCCACTGTGCCTGGTGCTGCATGGACCAGGGTGGGACCTGATCCACGCTGGAGTCCCACACTGCCTGGCCCACCTCATGGCCTCACGCTACCAGACATGGCCCCACTGCCAGCTGGATCTGTGATGGGGTAAGGCACTAGTTGTGGGGACATGGGTGAGGGTGAGCCTGGCGTGGGCTGGACAT